TAGGAAGACAAACTTGCTAACCCTTACACCGCCTCGAGATGCCCTTTACTTTGTTAGCGTAGCTTAGATGTGGCACAAGGCCGAAAGTGTGGAGCATCCAGTGAGGATCGAACTCACTATTCTGTCGTAACTGTTTTAGCGAGACAAGCTTGCTAACCATTACACCGCCTCGAGATGACCTTTATTTTGTTAGCGTAGCTTAGATGTGGCACAAGTCCGAAAGTGTGGCGCATCCAGTGAGTAACGAACTCACTATTCTGTTGTAATTGTTTTAGGAAGACAAGCTTGTTAACCATTACACCACGCCTAGGTACCTCTCCTATATGGCAGTAAACGTTGAACCATCTCACCACAGAAAGAGAAGAGTTTTTCGAGAAAATGGAAATAAAAAGGATACTTATACGCAACATCAGAAAGAGAAATTTCTAGAACACTTTTGTGACATACGGTGGCCGTTAATAATTAAATATAACTCAGGACTTCAATGTTAAATAAGACAGTATTTAATTACAACTGCCAATAAATACTTAACAAGAACAAAGAAGTAAAAGTCAACCAAAGATCAGTGAATACCTTGTTAGTAACGCGGCTCGGCTTAACGTCCGTTGAATTCTAAATCAAAACCTAAATCATTGACGCAAAATAATTCACACTAATTCGACTGGATAGTTCCACTCAATAATCACTGCAGTCAGTAGCCTGACATCGCTATTTATACACCTGACGGAAAAAATATATTCATAAGTCCAGAGTGTCCCGCTCGAGCCTTGGTGTCGGTAGTTACTCATTTTCTTCCTATATACTTAATAAAGGCTTGGAAAATTTAACACTCACAGGACATATTAAAGCCAAGAGAAACCGAAGAAAGTAGCGTATAACATACCTAACCAATTTGTGTACATGGTCTTCAGAACGGATTGGACGATATAGCAAAAAGTCAAACATTACAAAGTCAGGAAATTGCAGAGAGCCATGATCACTCAACGTCAAGGCGGCACACGACACATAGAAAAAGTATATAGTTATATTTAATAGTAGCGTGCCATTACGTCACTGGTACAGAGGAGAAGAAGAAGGCCAAAAATCTATTCGCATGCAAGATTCTACACCTATCAGGGAGGCACCGACAGATAATCGTGACAACGTAGGTCAGTATCTCTACATAGGTCTTTTGCTCACTTGTAAAATCGATAGGGTTGCTGCACTTCGTCAACTAGAAGGGATCCTACACGATACGACGCATCGACCCTATGACTTTTGGTACATCAGTGTATTTTATTGAAAATATTCTACGACAATGATGACGTGACACTACCTGTAACTTATTTTTTTTTTATCGCACGGTAATTCTAATCTAACGTACCCATGGGAAATATCTTCCATTACCACCAGCAAGGATAGAATAGACCATATAAAGGCGATGTTTTTCGATACATATACTTTTGTGCTAATTAATTGAAACAATAGCTTTATAGCTTCTTTTCCTTCACTACACGGTCAGTTTTAGACCCACTGGAGTGACAGGGTGTTATCGATTTCTATTTTTTCCTCAGATTATGTCATTTGAAGTGGTGTGCAGTAACATGAATCTATTTTCGGGGTGTATGAAGAAATTTCTTTGGCCTTGAAAAATATTACGTCATCCGTGATTGCATCAGATTTTTATCACACCCAGACACTATTGTCTCGACTGTCGATTGGTTGTCCTACGGCCATTGCCTGCGACGGGCGTTACTCCATGGAAGCGTGAGAAAACTGTAACGCTGCTCGAACACATTGGCAAGCCTTACCAGTGAGCAAATCAAATTTCTATAGCCTAGCCCGGAAACTCTCCTGATTTAAATCCAATCGAGAATCGGCGGTTAATCTGCAAGGATCGACTTCGTGGAATGGACATACGAAGTACTAACAAGTGCACTGGGTCATGTTTCACTGGAAAAATACGAAAACGAGTAAATTACGGAATATTCGTTTTGTTTCAATTAATTTGCACAAGGGTGTACTAATAAATATCCATTCGGCAGACTAAAGCATTTACAAGAATGACTAATAACAAAATAGACACAAGATACACATGATTTTCTTCTTCTTTTTCTTCTTCTTCTTCTTCTTCTTCTTCTTATTATTATTATTATTATTATTATTATTATTTCCTTTGATTTCGGTTGTATACACATTTCCTTCCGGATCCCAACAAGAGACCTAAGATCAGAAATGGCTTAAGGACCTTGTCTACTGATCATTTTTGTAAAACAGAAAAAAAAAAGATCACACATATTTTACATAGATAAAGCTCATTTTAATGTGTAGGCTGTACTTTTGAGTAGATTTTTTGTATGTCTTTAAGGCATGGGCTGCCAGGAATGCCTTTAAAGAATCTATCAGAACTTTTTTTTCCAATCAATCCGAGGGCTCCAACTATAAATGGAATTACTGATGTCCTCATATGCCACATTTTTTAGATTTCCATTTGAAAATCCTTGTATTTTTTGAAAATCTTCAAAGATACATTACAATCTGCAGTCTATAAGAAAGCACATTCTGTTGTTGTGATCTTTTGATAACAATGTCGAGGCGATTGGCTTTGTCTGTGTGTATTGTAAAGTTCCATAAAATCTGTAATTTGCTTTGAGTAATGTTCATACCAGTTTCTTGTAGTCTCCTTCTCGTAAAAGTTGCATATTTTCCAGTGCATATATTGGCCCACTCTATCATGCTTTTTATATTAAGTTGTTACTAACACTTTACAACCTGATACAAGATGGTCAATTATGTCTGGATATTTATCACAGCATCTGAATTTCGGCTTAACACATTTTTTTCAGTATTTGTGCTAGTCAGCAAGCATGGGTCCTGTGCAGCAAGAATAAAACCTTTGGTTTCAGCTTTTAACTATGCACTGTATAACCAGTGATAGGTACGGTGTCTGTCTCCATCGGTTTGTTTGGTCCGGGCAGAGTATGGACCATGAAGAGACTTTCTACCGTTTCTGCATTTGGTACATTGAATTTGCTTTTACTCTCTTTCTTAGGTTCTTTGCCGCTGCAGTCGGTTGACTTGCACTTCTTCGCCCACTTGAAATTCCTTTTTGAATTTGTTGCCTTCCTTTAAATTATTATTATCTTTATTTTATTTCTTTTGATTTCTGATGTGTACTCATTTCTTTCTGGGTCCTGCCCAGGGACCTAAGGTTACAAATGGCATCATGACATTTTCCAAAAAAAAAAAAAAAAATTCACATAGACAAAGTCCTTCGTAAGGTGTGGGCTGTACTCGTGAGAACAATTTTTTTGTATTTCTTTAAGGCATAGGCTTCCAGGGATCCCTTCAATTAGTTTACTGGAATCTTTTCCAAACAATCTGAGGGCTCCAACTACAACAGGGATTGTTGATGTTCCCATGTGCTACCTTTTTGAGATTTCGATTTCAAGGTTCGTGTATTTTGATAGCTTTTTGAAGATCTTCAAAGATACATTGCAATCTGCAGGTACCGCTATATCAATAAGGAGGCACCTTTTTGTATGCGATCTCTAATAAATTATTATTATTATTATTATTATTATTATTATTCCATGTCCTTATTAAAAATTTTATACATACTTCAAAATATCATCTTCCTTTGGGAAATATATTCCACTTTATATTGGTTACTTCATTTGTATAATTTAGGGCTAAAATCTTGAGCATTTCCTTGAAATGGTAGCTATATTTGGTATTATCTACTAGTAGTTTTTTCATGTTGGTAGATGCATTTTTAATGTTTGTGATATGTTTTATATATGTAAAAATTCCTCAAAGTTTAGAAAAATGACAAGTCAACGACCGAAAGATTGTAGTGCATGTGCGGCCAGTGTAAGAATGTAATGCTGCTCTTTGTTATTGATATTGGCGATGCAATCTCCTAAAAGAAATCAGAATTCGTAAACAGCATTGTTGTAACGTAGGAGTGATTTTTGAGGTGTTGAATTATAACTTGTTGATATGTTTTGAACGTTATATAGTAAATGTTAAATTTAATTCATTTGTTGCTACAGTTAATATGTAACGGTGAACTATATATTTACTGGCTTTTTTTTTCTGAAATTTAAATCGATAATACAAATGGACATTAGTCTGTGATTCAGGGTCGTTATTCATGAGTTCGACCCTTACTACGATTGGGTTGTGATAAATGCTCACCCCGGAGAATAACTGCGTGGTGACAAGAACATTTCAGTACAACCTCGTAGCGGTTGTCTTAGGAAACTTATCATTAACATCAGAAAAAGGCATTTGAGGTTTCTAGGGCACATCATGTGGAAAGAGGGCCTGGAAAAACCAATGCTCACAGGACAAATTGAAGGCAAGAGGGACAGAGGAGAACAATGCCTGACCTCCCTAGCGAGCTTAAATAAATTGATGGCGGAAATGGGTGTAGGAGACATAACAGAGAGTCAAAATTTCTTAAGAGCTGCAATGGACAGGAAGTTGTGAACAGCCATGAACACCTACATCATGAGGGGACACGGGACATATAGAAGATGTCCCCACCCCTTATTATTGGTGTATATAATTTATCACTAGGTTTTTCTCTATCAAGAATAAGAGTAATCGTAAATATTTAATTTTTTTTATCATTTAACTGCTGGATGAAGAGTTAATGAAAAAGTGACTTACCCAGTTATTGACTTGTCCACTCAGATATGACAAGCTAGTAACGAGATGGCATTTTTGGAAAAATCTGTCGTAAATTCGTGTGGGGTTAACTTAAAATTACTTGGCATTTTAGGTGAGGGTGCTGACACACTCATTGAAATCAGTCTGGCCAGCAAAATACTGATTTTAAGACGCAGGTCGGAGCGTGAACTGTTCAGTAAACTCTTATACAGGAGTAGATCAAGTTTATTGGCCAGAAATAGCATAATACAAACACCGAAAACCTTTAAGTGCTATCAAGGCCACACCACAGCCGGCTAAGCATCATTTTCGTTCTCTGCCCTTTTTTTTAAGTGTGCTCATTAATGCTATCTGTTTTCTCTCAGTTTTCACGTCTTTTCTACTTTCTTTCTTTCTTTCTTTATTTATTTATTTATTTATTTATTTATCTATCTATCTATTTATTCAATTTGTTAATTGCTTATTTATTTATGTTTATTTTTCCTTTTTCTTTTTTCTTCAGTTTTTCTTCCTCCTTTTTCGTCGTTTAATATTATTTCATTGTTAGGATTTTCTTCTTTTTTTCATTCTTTTCTTTTTTTTCTTTACTTCTTTTCTTCGTTTCTTTTCTATTTTTCGCGCTTTTTCTTTTTGCTTACATTTCTTTACTTTTTTTACTTTCTTTTTATAATTCATTGCCATTATTGCTATTATTATTATTATTATTATTATTATTATTCGCAGTAGTAGAAGCAGTAGTACTAGTACTTGTTTTTCTTCCTTTTAATTTTCTCCTTTCCTTTACTTTTTCATCCGTTTATTTCCTTCTTTTTCTTCTTTTCTTTCTTTTTCTTCTTTTCTTTCTTCTTATTCTCAGCTTTTTCTTAGTTTTCTTCTTTCTTTTTCATAATTTCTTCTTTTTTTTGTTATTTTCTCGACTTTGACGTTTTTCGCGTTTTCTTTTTGTTTCTTCTTATTAATTTTTTATTTTCTTTTTCTCCTTTCCTTTTTCCTTCTTTTTCTTCTTTTTTCGTCCTTTTCTTTTTTCCTTTCTTTCTCTTTTCCTTTATTCTTTTTCCCTTCTTTTTTTTTTGTCCTTTTTGTTTCTTCATATCTTTCTTTTTATCTACCCTTCATGTCATTCGTTCTTCATTTTCTCCTCTGATTTTTTTTTTTAATTCTCTTTTTCTTCCTTCACTTTCTCTTCTCTCCATTTAATCTCTTTTCTTTTTTTTTCTTTATTTCTATTAGTTTTTCTTTCTTTTTTTTTTAATGTTTATTTCCTTTTTATTTCTTTTCCGTCGTTCTCTTCCTTGTTTGTGGTCGTTGTCGTCGTCTTCTTTGAAAAGTACATTTATCATTATTCTATCAGTATCAGCGAGTGACTTCTTCTGTGCCAAGCTAATTTTGGCCTACCGTCGTTCGCAGATATTGTCCTGGACAGCAAACCACCATCAGGTCGAGCTTGGAAGGCGACCTACTGGCCCTGGGAGGCAGAGACATAAATAGCTGAGTTACGGAGTCCGGGCTGATAGCCAAGTTATAATTACTCTCTGAAAGTGTTGTTAAGAGCCAGTGAAACATTAAAACAATTCGGCTATTGATTTTTCCCTAACAGAAATAAAGCAACACGAAACTCACTACAAATTAAATCAAGAGAAACGAAAGAGGAAACGAATGTGTAACAAACGACAAATAAAAATAAGGTTGGACGCAAAACTATACTAGCTGATATACCTGCTTAACATGAAAACAATACTAATATTTCGGGGTCACCAATTAGTTGTGTGGTTATCGTTGCTGGAAAGGGAGAGTGTAATAATATTTATTAGTTGTAACCCGTGAAGATTTCATGATTATCTTATTTTAAGATTCTGATGAATCTTAATTCTAATTTTAATGATCGAACGAGCTCATGACGAGATCTGCAACAATAAACTGCCCATAGAAATTCTCCTATCGTATCGTTAAATATTTGAGTTTAACAACTATTGCAATAACAATGAGTACGAATACAGGTCGTTATTTTAAGAAGTAAGGGGGTACAAAAAGAAAGATTTGAAATTGACAACATTTCCATTTCACTGAAACAGATGTTTGACGTCTCCACCTTCTCTTCTCTTTTTTCTTTCTTCTTTTCTTTCTTTCTTTCATTCATTCAATCATTTCCTCACTGAAACCAAGTAGTATCTTTCCTCTCTTTCCACGCGATGAAACTAGAATAGTCCATTATTTATGAGGTATTAGAAGGATATGTTAAACACTTCTTTCTTTCATTCATTCATTTTCCCACTAAAATCAAGTAGTGTCTTTTTCCCTCTTTCCACGCGATCAAACTAGGATAGTCGATTATTTAAGAGGTATTATAAGGAGATGTTAAACACTTCTACTTCTACCTTCCCTTCTTTCTTTCTTTCTTTCTTTATTTATTTATTTATTTATTTATTTATTTCATTTTCTCACAGAAAACAAGTAGTGTCTTTTCCCCTCTTTCCAGGTGATCAGAATGGAATAGTCCATTATTCATGACGTATTGGCAAGGCATAAAGGTCGGGCAAACTAACGAAAGGATGGACAAGTACACTTATAATAGGATGTGATAGTGATTGAAGAAAATTTTGAAGTTTTATTTTAACAAATGTTCACTTAGTATAAAACACAAGAACCACTCAAGGTAGTGAGTTACGGAATGATATTATTTTATGTGGATATAAAAGAAAGAAGGAAGTGCTTATTATGAGGATATGTAGGATATATAAATTCAGAAATAAGTTATTCCAAAAATAAATTTCGCTTGAAGATGGAACAGAGCTTACTTTAATTCAATTTAATTCAAATAATTATATTGAAGTTTTCGGCTCTTGTTTTGAAACATGAGAACTCTTTATGTAGCGTGTTGGAATCATATTTTTAAATAAATAATATATATATATATATATATATATATATATATATATATATATATATACAGAGAGAGAGAGAGAGAGACACAGAGAGAGTGAGCGAAAGAGTGAAATATGAAGGAGATGAGAACAGTTACTATAATTTGCATTAACACGCAAAACACACACACACACACTTTTGTACTGGTATTTTCAAAGGATAACGTAAAATGATAGAAAGGAAGAAAAAAATGACTGCTTATTGAACATTTAGATGGAAGTTGTGGAGCGGTTCAAAATAAAATCAGGGGCAAGATCTGAAGACATGGGGCTTCCTGCCAAAAAGAATTTCGTCCTCTTAAGAAAAATAACACAGACGGCAGTCGATCACTACTGGTGGAGGGAGTTTGTGATCAAACGTTCTTTTTAGAAATAATAAAAAAAAAAGATTGGATAGGAAAGAAAATGTATGCACTTCCATTAAAGTGCGTCTCTTCCGCCAAGCAGATTCTGCAAAGAATATTCTGCTATTGTTGAGCGCCAACGGCATTAAGAATAAGGAGTCGAAACTCGGCGTGAAAGAAAAGGCACATAGTACACGTGATCACGCCAGCGACGCTTACAAAGATGTGACAGATAATAAAGACCATGACCTCTGAGATGTATTGTTCCTGATAGGAATGTTTCTAGGATCAAAGAAACCCCAACGCCCACAAAAATAAAAGCAACGTGGTTCATTCTCTTTTTTTTTTTTTTCTTTTTTTATTTATTGATATTTCATCCAATGCAAGGCTCAAGGTAGTGTGTTATTGAGCGAGAGTTCTGAGGGTGGAGGGAGTTGTAATTATGAAATGCGTTTTATAAAGACGTGTATAATCTCTAGGGTAGCTATCCGTTGATCCTGCACTAAGATTGCAATTGTCAGGGAAGCACCCACTCGGGAGTCAGTTGTACAAAATTAATAGTTTGCCCGAAGATCGCATTGAAACGTGTGAAAATGAACGTCATAATAGAGCGTTTGTTCATATGTTCCCCTATCTCATTCCCTATCTTATCAAACACACACACACACACACACACACATATCCGTACCCGTAACGGCATTCACCCGGGGTGGGTTGAGCCGGCTCCAATATTGGAGTTTCATGGGAATTTGGAATTCACAAGCGGTCCCCAACCCGCATGTATAGCACATGAGATTTGATTATAGTGGTGAAGGTTTCGTGCAGGACCATCCACACTTTTTGAAGGGCCGATTACAGAGACCTGGTGCACTACGTGCCACAAGGTCCCCAAACGACCCTACGCAGGTTTTGAATTCAGAGTTTTCCTTCTCCTAAACCAGTTGCCATCCAAGGCTATAGATCCCAGTCTGTCGTGCTATTTTACCCATAGCTGGAGGGAGAAGAAGAGGATTCATACCTTTCCCAAGGGTGTTAGCACGTAAGTGAATGTAATGGATTTGACTGGAATTCGAACTCAGCTTTCCGATTCCTCAATCCAAGCCACTATCCATTACTTCACTGTGCCTCCTCCACACACACACACACACACACACACATATATATATATATATATATATATATATATATATATATATATATATATATATATATATATATATATATATATATATATATATATATAACCAGAATAAGGATTAAAAAGCACAGAATATAACGATTGATATTATATTCATATTTTTGAAGATCAAATTTGACTGAGAAGCAATAAACCGGAAGTGAATTGCACAAGCGAGAAGAAAAAAACATCAAATATCAGGGGACTCAGTTGTCTGGTATGCAATTGTCTGGGACGCAAATATCCGGTACGCAACTATCCTAGAACCCAAAAATTAGATAGGAATCCAGCTATTCTCTTTCTCGTTTCTAATTTTATTCTTCATTCCGGTTACAGCTGAATTCTTAATAAGCCTAGTTTTGTTATTCTTTTACGCTTTCGGATTTCTATGTCATGAAACCCTTCCTTATTTATTATACTAACAGACATTTGAATGTCTGCACTTGTTTCATTTTGTCGGTGGGGGGGATAAGTCGGTGGGGGGTGTAAACGGTAGTGTCAGAGCTATGCCGCCCGGAACTTCGTTCTTGGTAGGGCCACCCAAGGCGGACAGGTCTGACACACACGCCGGCTAACAAGGGCTCTGGTGAAAATCCAAGGAGCGTCTGCATCGGTAACCGGCGGCTTTTGGTCGTTCCTGTCTCTGCGTCTGTGGGAACCCCGCGGCAAGCAAGAACGTTATTCGAGTAGGCCTGGGTACCCTACTTCTGTAATTTATCCCAAGAATCTTCTTCTCATAACAGGAAGAAGCCGGCTCAATCCGCCCAGGGTGCATGGCGCATCAGTACAGTACAGTAGTACTTGTTTCATTTTGACATCCCCAATACGTAACTCGCAAGCGGGGCTGCCTATTTTGCTGACAACCATGCATTCCTTCTACTTACTATTTAAAAAAAAAAAAAAGGTGCCGAGAAATTTGAGCAAATCTGTTCATCGGTCTAGTTACCCGGCGTCTTCTGCGTGTCGCCTAAAATGTCAGGCATCACTCGAAATCGCTCGACCAGAAAATAAAGAATCTAAGGTTCTATGATATTCCTTTCTCTGAGGAAACCATATCGCGTTTTACGTTAATTGAACTCTTAGATAACTTCTTATATGAAGACGTAATTTTCCAGGTTCAGACAGAACTCTTACTATGAGAAGGCGTCTACAAAACAGTTACTAAAACAAGCGCCTTTACCGGTCGACAAGACGGATATTTCTTTCCAACTCAGCTAAATATTAGAGTAGGACTAAAAGGACCAGTATTATGGATAGATGGTCGTTCCTTGAAACCTTAAGCACGACGAGTAGGACACACAAAGAAACTGCAGCACTTTTAATATTTCGGGTGAAAATAAAGACAAAAATTGCAAAAGCAACACACATTCAACAAAATTACATTTCAAACTAGTCACAACACATTACGTTGCATCTAGACATATGGTTCTGTTAATATTTCGGCCTTTCGTGTGTCATGACGTCATAGAACCGTACCTTGAACTTACGAACTGCGTCTGCTATTCCGCGACCGTTATCGTCGCTTAGCAGTCTTCTATGTCAGCATAACAAAATATTATCTTCGATGGTGAATATTTTTGCTAAAATATCCATATAACCACTCTGAAGATGGCTCATGTGAGTCGAAAGCTTAGATTAAGGACCAACTTAAAAAATATCCAAATTTTCGACAATTTTTGTCTTTATTTTCACCCGAAATTAAAACAAAAATACGAACATTAGACCGGCTCATGATCAGACATATTTGAAATTCATTGTCTTTTATATTTAACATGTATATATATATATGTGTGTGTGTGTGTGTGTGTGTGTGTGCAGCTATGTAGAAAAATAGGAAAGAACACGTTAAGGAAAATAATCCGGAGTTCTTTAGTATTTTTGTTTTTATTTAAAAAAAAAAAAACAGCGCTCCATACAGAAGTAGAGCTTAAATTCTAAAGAATCCTAAATCCTAATTTAGGAATCCTAATTCCTAAATTTTCGTTTGAGGATGAAACAAGAATTTTAATAATTATATTGAGGGTTTCGGCTCTCGTTTTTGAAACATGAGAACTCTTATGTAGCGAAGGAATCATATTTTTTAAAAAATAATATATATATATATATATATATATATATATATATATACATGAATTATTCACACAAAACTAATGCAAAGGGTTATGGTTTAAATGGCGAGACATCAATCATCGCAAACAATTCAAATAGTACACAAAAACCTCCAGATCCGTTATGAATGAATTGATCCTTGTTTATATAAATTTCTGCCGTATTAGTTGTTATTTTACTATAAGCTTTCGTCTGTTCCTACAGACATCTTCAGGTATATAATAGATGTTGTTCTTGTTTTTTTTCTCTTAGTAATAAGAGGACATCGAAAATATATGTGTTATTGTATCTTTGCATTAGTTTTGTGTGAATAATTCATGTATTTGTAAATTGATTGCACGTTTATTGTAATATATATATATATATATATATATATATATATATATATATCGGATTAATATGAGTAAAAGTTTGTCACTTAGTTGATTGATGTTACCTTCAGCATCCCGACTCCAATTCACCCTCAGTGGGTATCAGCAATTGACTGATTACATTTTTCAATTGTATTTCCTTTTTATTGGTTTAAGTTTTTTTCCACCATTTTTGTGTTAACATATATTTTAAATTAACTCACACCATGCAAGGCAATAATACCACTAAGATGCAAGGGAATACTAAGAGTGAAATTTAAAAGAATTTAGAAGGAAGCGCAAACCCAGTCCTATGATCTAGAATATATTTTGCTCTGCGTCGTTATGCTTTGCGGTTAGAATCTGGCATCACGATAAAAGAAACATGATTAAATATTTATACATCGAGTAAATATTTTCTTGAACTTACTGGATTCATTCTTAATTGGTCCAGAGTGAAATAACTTTATGTCTTTGGGGAAATGTGCTGTAGGGTGGGAAATAATTAATAGCCTACCTAAGCTTTTGAACTCTATATAGGCTGGAAAGAGAAGGTTGGCTCTCTTCAACACAAGCAGGACAAAAATACTCGATTTGGGATTTAATTTACTGTAAATATATATAAATAGCTCTATCTTTTCTGTTACTATCAACAAATAACTCCAACGATACATTGCGTCTTCGCTTTTCCTTTATATTGACCTCTATTGATAGTTTTATCATTCATTTTTATTCGTATCAGCAAATAAAACCACCGACCATTTGCACGTTGATATTTATGTTTCAATAGGAGTAGATAGGTTCGCCTATCGTACCGTTCACACCACTCTTCGGTGTTTTTGGACAGTAGTAGATGTTTATACCCTGTTTCCTGTTTAGGATTAGGTTCCGGTTCCTTCTCAAGACCTTGCGTTCTCTTCCATTCGCAGTAGCCCCTTGCGTC